ACAACCAAGAGGATTTACATAGATTCATAAGTTTGACATAGTTAGAAAAAAAATGATCTATTATACATAAGAACTATCTGAAGCTCTATTGCACTTATCTTACTTCAGCGCAAAAGCCGACACATAAGGAAAGAAGGCTATCATCGATCAAAAGTGATCAGTGGAACCGATTGATATCTAATAAGTCCAACTTTTCTGAAGTTTTGACTCAAATATATGGATTATTCAAGTCAGTATACATTTTTCAGTAATTTCAATTTCCCTCTGTAACAACACAATATGTTGAGCTGATTTTTTCTCCAGCAGCTCACACTTCGGGTGTCTACTTATATAAAAAGTTTTGAGGTCATGGAGATAATGACAAAATAAGTTTAAAAAGGTCAGTATACAACGAGTTTGGAATCACGTTTTTTTAAAAATGTTTTGTTTTCTGTCTATAGATGAAGCATGCCACCACAAAATTTTCTTAGCTATTTAGTTACGTTCCCACTACTGCTACGTTTGGCAAAATTTTATATTATTCAATCCAATTCGACACTGAGAAAAAAGAGGTTTTATGTCAGTATACAGAAAAAATCAGAACGATTGTAAAAAGACTGTTCGCGATGACTTATGCAAAAACCTAACTGATAGGCTAAAACCAAAGGTATATTTTTAAAGACCAAACTATCAACTACAATTCAGTAATATAAAAGAACTTTAAAACATAAAAGCATCAAAAAACTATAAAGCTTTTTTTTCGATAGATGGCGTAAAAATACGGATTTTTGAAATTGTTTGAGGCATATCTCGGCAATCATGACAGAAAACAACTTGATTTCTTGTATGTATGTAGGGACATTATCAAGGAGTAAAACAAAAAAATTATTCAGAACGGTTCAATGGCACTCGAGATATTTTCAATTTGCAAATATTGGGGATCAACAGTACAATCGCTATGCAATCGACTCATATACACATATGTATCACAAAGCACAATACGTATTACATAATGAGATGAATAGTTGATGATAAAGTATATAATATAAAATTACAAACCTTTATTCAATCGTACAGCTTTGATTAATGAAGTTTCTGTTGGGATTTTACTCGGTGTAAACAGTTTTTTATTATTGGCCAAATCAATTAATACAAAACCACTGACACCAAATTCATAATACCATCCATCTTCATTATAAAGCTTTTGCTTAATATATAAGCACGTTAATGGAAATACAGATTTAATAGTAACAGATGAATATATATCACTTATTATTGTATATTTATATTTCTAAAATATAATCAAAACATAAGAAACATATGACATTGTTGATGTTGATATACAATAAACTTGTTTCATTGTATATTCTGAAAAGAAAAGTTAAAGTTCTTGTTTTGGACCAGCCACAAGGAGTCAGGGGATGGCGGCTCTCCTGACAAGAAAACTTTATACTCCTATTTTGAGCGAACCACACGGGAGAGTCCAGGCAGCGGCAGTTTTACCTTAAAAAGAAAGTTTAGACTCTTGTTTTGAGCCAGCTATACGGAAGCCGAAGGGAACCTTGTCATTTGCCGAACTCATGTAGTTTTCGCAAGTGCATGGCTAGTTTGCGAAGAACGTGTTCTGTTGTTTATGGAATAATTTTGAGTTGGCCTTGCCTTAGCAATTTCATGGGTATGTCGCTGGGTCAAATACGGAAATGTCGCTTATCACAGTTTATTGCACCATGATGTGTGGAAAATTCAATGAAATAGGTCTCAGACGAAAATAATTTTTGGCTTGATCCTATCCTACTAATCGAAAGCTCGATAAGCTTATAGATTGACTCTTAAGCTGTAGTCAGTAATAGTATGGGCAGTCTAGACTGAAACGTTTTCAAAAACAAACATGACTATCTGTACATTTTGTCAAACTAGCTTCCTGACAATATGAGATCAGAGACTATTGAAACCAACTATACTAGTTCCCAAATCGAAGACAGTAAAACGGGTCTTCTTCCTTATTCCAAAAAGAATAGAATTCATGTGGCACATTCGCTTGATATTTTAATTATTATGGAAGCAGAGAGCTTTAATAGACAACATTCATTTGCTGAAGAAAAAACCTAAAATTAGTAGCAGTACATACGTTATGATTATTTTCATTGTTTGTTGTCTGTAATTGTGTTTGAAACGATGAACGTTTTTTTCCTCTATCACGACTAATAATAAGAAAATCTTTCTTATCTCGTTCACTTGTTGAATTCGAATGTTGTATATTTAAATCTTGTTTTCGTGTTTGTGTTTCTCGATGTACAACCTATATGAACAAAAATGTATATACATTGTCAAGATTACACCAAACAAAGTTATTTATTCAATTATTCTTAGTCATATATGTACCGTTTTCCTCACAGTCATTTTTTACATCAGAATCGATCTCAGAAAGTATAAACAATATATTGAAAACAGATAATAAAATAATTCATATAGTAAGAATGCGCATTCTCAGAAAAAGTTAGTATTGAGAAATTGTTTTTGAAAGATGCACAAAACCACGCATTTTTTAAAGAAGTTATAAGAAAAACGAAAATGAACCTTTTCAGCAATGATACAAGATTTCTCAAAATCAATGCATAGTTTTTTTCCTCAAATGTATAATGAAGTAATTAGAATTAAACAGAAATGAATATTCTATCTTCCAAGTGAAAAAAAAACTAAATATGTTTACAATATGGCTTGTGCTCAATTTCAACAGTTTTTTTCTTATTTCAACAAATTTTTCCGTTATTGTGAGTTTTAATTTGATCAAATTTAGTTTTTTATATTCGATCTTCTAAAAACTAAGAATGCATTCAGATATATGTCAAGGAAGGAAACAGGAAGTGTCGAAGCTTCACTTGGCACGAATACAAAAAAAAACAAGGAAGAATGTATCAGCAGTGTCTACTAAACTCCTTGCTACGCTAGAAATATAGAGCGAGGGCTTTGGCCGTGAGGGCTGTCAAAATAACAGAATCGAGCATACTCGCTTTTTCATAGAAAACCTCATACACCATTTATTTTGATGGGGGCCTATTAGCCAGCATTCTCGTGAATATCAAAGTGGCATCGTTATTTTAGCAAAACTATGAAAATATTTGGACCAATTTAAGGCTGCATTTGCACGTTGACATTACGATCATTGACTAGAATTATATGCGTCTTTGCAGTGCGCAAACATGTTAGGATATGAACTAATACGGCAGTTTGGAGAACAATCACATCATGTGACGCTCGATGAAACCAAATGTCGAATCGCTCTTGAGTTTAAAAAGTAGTACCTGAGTGAACAAAAATAGTTAAGTTCGTGAAGAATTCTAAATAAAACACAACTCACACTTCCTCTGCATCGTGCGTGTGACCTCGTTTAGGAGGCAGAGCCCTCGTCGGCACTTCCGCGATACCCATGGTAATCCCGGTCGTTGATGTCATATCACCATTAATGAGTTCCCACCTGAGAAATTATACGCTTTA